AACCTTTTTTTTTTTTTTTTTTTTTTGGTACTGGGGATTGAATCCAGGTTCTTTGCACTGAGCTACAATCCCCATCCCTTTATTATTTCTTATTTTGAGACAATGTCTTGTTGCTAAATTTTTTTCCAGTCTGGGTTTAAACTTGCAATCATCCTGCCTCTGCCTCCCAGAGTGCTGAGATCACAGGCATTGGCCACCATGCCCTGCTATACTGTATCATTTAAAAATTTATTTTCCTGATTTCAGACTGTATACCCCAGTTTGCAGTCCTTCACCCAACGATTATACCTGTGAGCTCTTTGAGATACAGCCTACCGGATTTTTTCTGTGGAACCATTCCTATTTCTCATGCTTGAGATAATACTGCGCATTCCTTTTTGATTTATTATGCCACAGGCATTTCCCTATGTTATTAAGTAATCTTTTATAGCCGGGTGTGGTGGCGCACGCCTATAATCTCAGCACTCGGGAGGCTGAGGCAGGAGGATCACTGTGAGTTCGAGACCAGCCTGGGCTACACAGTGAGTACCAGAGCAGCCTGAACTACATACATAGTGAGACCCTGTCTCAAAAAAAAAAAAAACAAAAAAAAAACGAAAAACAAACAAACAAAAAAGTAATCTTTTATAAATTATGTACCTGGTGACCTGTGGACAAATACGCAGCTGTGTCTAGTTTCTCTCTATTGTAAATGGCATCATAGTTGGCATTTCTGAGCTACACCATGCTCTGCCCTCTCCGATTTATTTCCTTAGGAAATTTTTCCCTTCCCTGGGAAGTCTTGAGAGTATGAGCAAAACTATCTTGAAAGGTATATGAAGGCTGGGATTTAGCCCAGTGGTTCCACTGTCTGCCTCACAAGTGCAGGACCCTAGTTTGATCCCCAGTAGGGAAAGAAAAAGTATGGGTGTACCACCCACACGCATTGTAAGCCAGTGCCTGTTGTTGTGCACCTTAGTTGGCACTGTGAGCTTCGCCAGTTCCATTCACCAAAAAGACAGGCTTCTTTTAACTTGCATTTCTTTGACTTCTAGAGAGCATGTATATTTTTCCACATATTTATTAGTCATCATGTTCTTGGCTCATTTCCCTCTTGGTGCATTCTGACTGCTGCCACCCTGCAGTCCAAGTGCTGGGAGAACTGTTGGTCCTGGGCCCTATCTGTGCCCTGCCTTTCCCTGCTGTCTCATCCAGGGTCCGGTTCTTCCTGAGGGTTAGAAGCCCGGTGGTCTCCCAGAGTCGCCCAGCCTCTGGGCCTGGGACCTACCATCTGGCAGCTGTGGGCTGAGAGGTCGCCTGTGACCCCTCCCTGCAGGAGCCCTCCTTAGATATCACTCTGCCTGCCACCCTGACAGCCCCACCCTCCTGGGCTGTCCTGGCCCCAGGAGCACCCTCAGTTCTCCTCCTCCCGGCCTCTCTGTCCTCCAGAATGGCGTTGTCACCTCCCGGGCCTCTAGCCACCCACTCACCCTTCCGCTTCTCGGTGAAGCAGGCTTTTGCTTAAGACGGTTTTAGAGATCATTATGTGTTGTTTTTCTCTTTGTTTTCCTAATGTGTTCAGACTTTTAAGAGTAATCTTTCTAAGCCAATCTTGAAGTATCAGTGTGGTCCCCTGGGACCTCTGACCCTGCCTCTGATGTCCTCCTCCACCCGGGAGATTCAGAGCAAGGCCCAACCTCGCCCTCCCTCCTTCCCAGGGCTCCTACTGCACGACATGACCATGGCTGGTCTACAGGAGTTGCGATTTCCCGAGGAGAAGCCTCTGCTCCGGGGCCAGGATGTCACTGAGCTGGTGAGTAGCCCCTTAGCAGTAGTCCTGGGGCTAAGTGCACCACCTTGTGGTGAAGAGGGGAACTGCAGCCTTCCCTGAGGCCTTGATGGTCATGAGTGGACCCTGAAAGGGGAAAAGCCATCCTGAGCACCCTTGTCCTTGCTTTGAGAGAGTTCCGGGGACAACCTGGATGCCCAGGTGACCAACACCCAGATAACTTCCCTGTGTCTTTGGCTGTCTTTGAGGCTAGAGCTCAGCAGGAGAGAGCCTCATTTGGTTGATGAGGAAACAGGCATGGACGAGGGAAGTCACTTGGCCAAGGCCACACAGCTAGAGCAGACTGAGGCCCCACGCAGTCCCTGGCTCTGGGCAGCCCCAACCCCGAAGGAGGCACTCTGAGACGCTGCATCCAGCAAAAGGAGCTATACCATCCGTGTTGCAGGCCCCTCTGTCTTTACACAAATTTTGAGGTCCACGGGCCCAGTGTCCATGTTGGTCGGGAACCAAATGCTAGATTCCAGTATCTGTTCTACCCTCCACCTTGTTAGGTCGCCCCGTCTACCTTTCCATCCCACCCTCCCTGCACCGTCCTACCAATGACTCTAACACAAACCACTGCCCAAGAAGCCAGGGGTGACCTGCTCCTAGTTTGGGGGAGTTCGTCGAGCTGGGGTTCCCACTGATTATGCCTCCCAGGCCTCCGTCACTTTGCAGATGGGGAAGCCAGAACACGCCCAGTCCCTCAAATCTGCATCCCTGTTTTCTGCCCTGCCCTTGCTCCCCCTGCCCCCTGCCACAGGAGGTGACCAAGAACACCTGAACAGCAACCAGGGGACCAGGCAGCAACTAGGGCTCCAGGGGTCGGACCACATGAAGGGTCCCTGGAAAAGGGTACAGACCTATGTCAGAGCCTTGTGTTAACTTCTGGGGCCCCGGTGACTTGAGGGCAGCACTTGGGATAGCAGGGGAGACACACACTTAGCAGGCCCTTTGTTCCGAGCTCGCTCACTCCTGTCTCAGACCCCAGACCCTGTCATTGCTTCCTGGGAAGCTTGTAAGGGCTTCCTTGATGGTCCCCTCGCTTCTGCCCTTACAGGCCTTTAAAGTACATCATGTCACTTCTCCGCTCCTCAGCGGCCCCAGTCGTGCTCAGTCCAACCTCTGTCCTTCCTAGGGCCCAGGATATATTCTGCACCACCCTGCCCCATCCCTGCTCTCTCTCCCAGCTCCCTCCTTTCCAGCCTCCTTGAACTTGTTCATCGCCTTCTCAGCTCCTTCTGCCTGGGAGGTGTAGCCCTGGAGTTTGTAGGGCTCACTGCCTCTGCTCGGATGCCCCTCCTCAGAGGCCTTTGTGGCTCAGTGTGTCTGGCCCGGACACCCCTCCACACTCACTCAGAGACCCTGCAGCATTCTTTTCTGTCTGGTACCCAGGTCTCTGCAGCACCCAGCACAGCTTCTTGTACATAGTTAGTGCTCAGCAAAGACACGTGCTAGAGGGAGCCACAGATTATGGTACAGCTTGGAGGGAAGAAGTTTCTCAGAACCTTCTGAAAAGTCTGTCTTGCCCACACCAGCCTGTCTTTCAAAGCCTATGAGCAGAGACCTTTTGTGGACCTCTGCATCCCATCACAGGCGCTGAAGAGGGCAGGTAGAGAGCAGGTGTCACTGTGGCTCAGCGTCTGTGATCCTGACCAGTGCCTGGGCACAGTGCAGATTGCTGAGCACATCTTGGCCCCGAGACACCTGTGTCTTCCGTGCTTCACCCCCCACACACACAGGCTCTGAGAGGAGACCCTGCTCGTCGGTGATCTCAGTCGTCCTCCCTCCTCAGCCTGGCACGGCTACCCTTCTGCAGCAGTTGGTCTTTCATCCTGCTTGCCGCCAACACACAGTTTGCCGCTGCGATGTTCCCGCTTCTTCATGAGTACCTGGTTTCTGTCTCAGTGGAGGCCTCTCCTTTCTTGAGGCAGCACAAGCCCCAGGCTGAGACCTCACCACATCTGCTGTTTCCTAAGTGTGCAGTAAAGCCCTGTCTTCAAGCCCAAAGCATCCTCCCTGCCCCGCCAGCTTTCCGGGGTCCACATGTTTCACCTTTGCCTGCAGGGCTGTTCTGCTTCTCAGGTCGCCTGTGGCAGCATGGGAAAGTGCCCGCCCTTTTTATTTTTTGTCTCCTGCGAAGACTCAGAGCCCAGCAAGGATGGAACAGTTGGCCCTCTGTATTGAGTTCCACCTCTGTGGTTTCAGGCAACCATAGGTTGAAAATACTAGAAAACAGGATTGCACCTGTACTGAACGTATGTAGATTTTCCCCTTGCAGTTAGTTAACCCCTAAGTAATGTTAACAGCCATTCATACGGTATCTGTCTTGTGTTAGGTAGTATAAGCCATCTAAGACGAATTAAAAGTATACAGGAGGCTGTGCACAGTTTCTGTGCAAAATGACACCATTTTATAGAAGGGACTGGAGCTTCTGTGGGATTCAGTACCTGCAGAGTGTGCCGGACCCGGGACCCTCGGAGACCCGAGGACAGCCCCACTTCCACCCAGCTCCTGCTGCCTCCGCCTCTGTGCACTGGCTTGCCTTGCAGACTCCATTGCCTGCTGGCCCAGGGCTCCGCGGGTGGCTGGCCACCCCTTCTCCTGTGCCCCCCACGTCACCCCTGGGCCTCCTGCCCTCGCAGTGCGATCCTCTCTCTCCAATTTCCTCCAAGCTTGCTTTCACCGCAGTCCTGAGGGCTCCAAATGGGTTCATGTCCTTGGCTTTTAGGTCCTATCCCTCCCACGTTCCCCATCTCCTGGGGCCCCCAGCACTGAGAGTGCACTGCAAACCCTGCTATTATCTGCCTCCTCCTTTTTGTCAGATTTTTGTTTTTAACAAAACTGCCTCCTCCCTCCTTCTCAGAGATAATTGCCTTACTAAGGTCTTAAGGATAAGAACCTCCCACACCCACTTCCCCAGCCTCTGTCGCACAGGGATTAGGGTGAGCAGATGCATCCATGCCAGCCCTGTCCCCTTTCCCCGGCCCTGTTCTCTTCTGTGGAGGCTTCAGGAATGGCTGCCCTCTCTCTCCCAGGAAGCCTCCCCCAGGCCTTGGTTGAACCACCAGGGGAGGCTGGGCTCCACGTTACCAGGCATCTAATCCCTGACTGTCTGTCCTCTTTGGGTGTGACAGCTCCTGGTGCCCTCTGACCTTCACCTGCCAGAATGTAGGCAGCTTGATGTTAACATATTTTAAGGAGCAACATCAGAATCACTGGTTGCACCCTGAACCCAGGGCTGTTTTCCTTTCTGTTGCACAGTGGCAGCCCAACCCTTCTCTTGCTGCGCTCCAGCAGCAGCCTGCTCTTGATTTGATGGGTATTTATTCTCTAGGAGAGTCCGTGGCATGCATCTAGGTTAGGATCACAAAGGACAGAATCATAGCTAATGCCACATGCAGGGGCTGCATGGCCCGCCCGACTAGAGCAGAGAGGCTTCTAGATAGGCATGGTAGACAGCAAGGCAGACCCAAAGCACATTCTGCCTTTTATGGTCTGGTCTCCTGGTAGATTTCCTCCTCCTGGCCCCAAAGCAGCCTGAGTCTGACCTGGGTCAGGTGCCTGGTCATTCAAATGAGGAGAAGCCGAGTCACACCCCAGAGCCAGGCCCTGCTTCGGGGAGCCTGAGGGCTGCTTGGGTCCACCTGTGCAGCCTGGAAAGCCAGGTGCATTCTGAATCACACCCTCCATCCTGCAGACTGGAGTCCAGTGGCAGGACAGCCACTAATCACAGATGTACACTGCTCAGTGTCACACGTATCCAGGTGACTTGAGAGCTCAAAGTGGGCAGTGCCCTGGTTTCTGGCAGTGCCTACGTGTGCAAGTTAGAAAAGCTCCTTGTGGCTGTAGGCCAAGCACCCTCAGCTTGTCCATCCCAGTCGGGTGCGACAGGCACGTCCTCCTCTCCCCTCCTTCTTTGCCTTTGCCCTTGTGTCCAGATGGTCAGACCTTGAGAAGTATCTGTGAGCACAGGAGAACAAAGAGACCAAGAATCCAGATTTAAGATCAGAGATTCTACCACTTTGTAGCCCAGGGACTCAGCCTGAGCCTCACCCTTCCCACCCATAGAAGCAATATCTTTGCATCTGCTTAGCACTGTGTAGCCTAATATCTGGCACTTGGTAAACCCTTGACTTAACATTAACGAAGTCTAGGGATCAGAAAGCTGTCTGCTCTGGGCTGATCTCCGTGGGACGCCCAGGCCAGTGAGGACCTCACTTGTTCCTCTGTTTGCCTTCTCTTAGGAGAATCCTGACACCTTCCTCTCGGCTGTGGACACGGACTGGAAGGTAAGTCTGGGCTCAGCCCCCTGAGGTGTGGGACCCACAGTTGGGCAGCCCCTGAATGGGGAAGCCAGGAAGAGACAAGAGGCCTGGGGAAGGAGGGAAGGAGGATGGAGAAGGGAGTGAGGGATGCTGTCAACGGAATTAGCATTTTCCTCCAATGAAAGGTAGGTTGGCTCCAAAATAGCTCCTGTTTCCATGGCAGCAGTTGCCAGGACAACCATGTCCTCTTTACTTTGATGCCAGATTCTCCGTGAAAACTGTACTTGCGCTTTGTTTTTATTCCTGCACTGGCTCACTCGCCCAGCCATTTCTCCTTTCTCACTCCCCCAGTGACCGTTTATTTCCAGGTGCTAGAAAACGTCTAACACCAGATACCAGAGGAGTCTTGGGGGGGTTCCCCAAACTCCACTAGCCTCCCAGACCTGCTGAACAGCTCAGATCCTTCCTCCTGAAAGATGGAAGTAGCCCCCAGACTGCTGCCCTTGTCACCAGTGACCTTGATTTGGGTCATTCTCCACGCCCCATGACAACGCCAGCCTTATGGTCTGGACGGTTGCCGAGGTGATGACACAGGAGGTGGGGGCCACCTGTTAGTGCTGACTCGGCAAGCAGCTCACCAGCAAGGATGAGGCCAGGACATGCGCGTGGTCCTTTGGTCACGCATCTTGAAGATCAGGCCTCGTGCATTGGTCTCTGGTCACGTGCTCTTCAAGGACACAAGGGAAGGATGCAGGGCAGACAAAATGCAAATGCTCAGATCCCACAGGAATGCCTTGTCCAAACGGGCTCTGAGCTGGAAGGGAGGGATGGGATTTGGTGGGGGACCAGGAGGAAGGTGGGAGGGATGTGGCTGGGCAATGAGCCTGCTGGTAGGAAATCAGCAGGATCCAGGCAACTCTTCTTTTCCTCTGTGCTCGGGATGAGGTTGGGAATGTGGAATTAAATGGGCCCTAAAGAGGGGACTGATGACATTAAACCCTGGAGCAGCCAGCCCCTATCCTGTCACTCTGGTCCCACGAGTGGAAGGCCCACGCCTCTGACGCTCACCTTGCTATGGGGAGCAGTGGAGGGGAGTCTTTGGGTCCCAGTGGAGGCCTCGCCCTGCAGATGCTGACTGCTTCTGTGCTGCCTCCTGTCAGCTGAGCCCTCTGAGCAGCAGGCGGGCACTTCCCAAGGCAGCTGCCCTGACAGGTGGGACCCTCATCTTCAAGGCCCTTTCCACGTTGAGGGGAAGTGTTTGTTAAGACTCCTTCCAGGCCAGGTGAGGTGGCCACACCTGTAATCCCAGCTGCTCAGGCAGAAACAAGAGGCTTGCAGGTTCAAGCCCAGCTGCTGCAGCACTTTAGCAAGACCCTGTCTCAAATAAAGGGGCAGGGGTGTTGCGGGGTAGCTCAGTGGGGAGCATTCACCTAGCATGCAAGAGGCCCTGGGTGACAATCCTGCAAAAAAGGAAAGCTTATTCTACATAGAGACAGGTGTGGGGTTTTGTTTGTTTGTTTGTTTGTATTTTTGTTTTTATTCAAAAGAAACAGCCCCAAAGATGGCTATTATCTGGGCCATAGCCTGGCAGGGATTGTATCCCACTTCAGAATGGCAGGTGGGGTTGCTGTCGCTGGCCTCAGTGGGTGCTGCCAGGAGGAGAGGTAACAAGGCTGAGAAACACCAGGTCCAGACAGGCCTGAGTCTAGGCTGTGGTCCTGCCACTTCCTGGCCATGTGACTGTAGCACAGGACAGTCTTATTTGGCCACCTCATTTGTTCAGTGAGACATTCGTGGGTGTATGTGGGGCACAGTATTCGGACACCAGTGACTGTAACGAGAGTCGGGCTGCTTGAGTGTGGCTCCTTGTTCTGTGTTTCTTAGCCGTGTAACGTGGAGCAGGCTACCAAACTTCTTTGTGTTTCATCTGCCTTCTCTGAGAAGTATCAAGAGGGTAAAAGAAGCTGGGTGTGGAGGCACATGTCTATACTCTCCGCACTGGAGAGGCTGTGGCAGGAGGGTTATGAGTTCAAGGTCAGCCTGGACTACATAGGAAGACTCTGCCTCAAAAAACCAAATTGAATTTGGGTGCAGTGTAATCTGAGCACCGAGGGAGGCTAAGGCAGGAGGATTGCCATTCACCTAGGCGATTTAACACGACCCTGTCTCAAAATAAAAAATAAAAGTGTCTAGGGAAGTGTGGAGATCCTGGTATCAATTCCCATTACTACAAAAACAAACATTGTACCAAAACAGAATAAAATGAGGTAACATAAAATGCTTGAGTAGAGCCTGGCTTGTGGGAGCCAATCTAATGTAAGCTGCTCCTCGTAATGTGACTCCAGGCCTGGAGTGCTGGGGGAAGAAATGCCAGGGTTACTAGCTGGGTGGGGAAATTACCTAACCTCTCCTCCTCTTCTTTTCTCATGGGCTTATGAGGACTGTGTATGTTTTCCTTAAAAATACCTGTGTGCTGGGCACTGCTGTTTCTCCCGTTCATAGAGGTGGAGACTCAGAAAGGTTGATTGTCTTGCCCAAGGTCACCCAGCTAAGAAGTGGTAGAGCTGTGGGGGCACCAGTATTCATCTGGGAGAAGCTCAGTCAGCTGTGTTTGGCCACCACCTCCAGGAAAGGGGCCAGCAGTCTGGGGAGACCTGTAGGTTGTCCTGTCTCCTGTTTTGAGACTGGGGAGAGCTAGGGTCAGGGCTGAGTGATTGATGCAGTTTTTCTCATTCCCATAGCAACTCAGCAAGGAAAGCACAGTTCCTATTTTATAGCAGGGGAGCCAAAGGCACAGAGGTTACAGATGTTGCCCAGGGACCCACCTGGGGGTCAGGCACGAGTTGGACACAGGTCTGTGGATTTGCAGCCAGTGAGCTGAGCAGAAATGGGGGCAGGGCTGCAGCTTGGGGTGGGGAAGGGCGGGTCAGCATCTCACCTGGGTCCAAAGGTGAGGACAGGCCGGCAAGGTGTACAGGCACTGGCTGGGGACAGTAGCAGGACCTCTGCTCCTTGGAGAAGTGCATGAGTGAAGGCAGAGCAGAGCTGCACCTGTGTGTCTGCCTCCATGGTCCACGCTCCTTCCTGTTCATGGAAGCGTAGCCAGGATGGGGAGATCTGGAGATGCCCCATTCTATACTCCTCGGGGGATAGGGCCCAGCATGCTGCTCAAGGACCCGGAGTGGGGACTCAGAGATGGAGTGTGGAAGGTGGTCGGTGCCCCAGGTAAAGGATGTGGCCAGCGGTAGTACCTGCAGCAGGTGCTTGCCAGGTCAGTGGCACCCAGGTTGCCTTTCCCAAGGGCAGCCAGCCTATGTGCAGCTTCGGTTGGGATGAGCGGAGTGTCCTTTAATGACAAGACAGAATCAGGGCACAGGTGCCTTGCATCCACCCTGCTGCCTGGCGCTCTTGTTCCCTCAGCCTGGGGCTCCCTCTGCTCACCTTCCTGGCCTATTTCGTCTCCTCCTTTGTTACCTGTGACTCCAGTCTCTTTGTTCTGCCTGCATAGCTTGGGCTAGCTCGACACCCAGACCTTTGATTCTCTGGGGGGCAGGACATGGAGCCTCAGGTGGCTTGGACATGCTGCTCCACAGAGACCCAGGAGGCAAGCCCCATGCCGGAGGGTGGTACGCAGGAGGCAGGCATATCATCTAGGCACAGGCTGCCCCTGTCCTTCCTTCTCTTTTGGGGGCCTCCCAGGTTCCATAGAGTAGGGATGGGGAGGGCCGAGCTGATGTCCCCAGGTCCCTCGGCCACACACCCTGCTTTTGACATCTCGGAAAGCCCTGGGTGACACACGTGCAGGGTGGGAGGCAGGTGGGAGAGGAGCCAGGACCCTGAAGCAGAGGCACCCTTGGAAGCAGGCACTGCCCCAGCTTTCCTCAAGGATAAGTGACCTGAGTCTTCCTGTGAGGGAGCTGGGCTTGGGGTCCTGGTCCCCAGCATGCTCAGCTTGGACATCTCTTTGCTCTTTGTGCAGGTGATGAATCTAGGACTCTGCCTGCCTGTGTGTCCCACTCTGTCCTGATTGGGCATGCACGTCAGTGAGAGGCCCTTGTGTGTGCATGGCCACAGCTCCTGTCCACCTCCCCCACCCCCCACCCCCGTGTCCCTGTGCAGCTGCAGCTGTCAGAGGTGCATAGGGGCTGGGACCCTCCAGGATGATGTGTTGCTGGGGAGTGGGGAGGAGGTGGCTGGGTGATGAGGAGCTCAGAAGCCAATCAGAGCCAGGTTTGTCTCCCAGCAGCCAATCTGGGAGCGGGGGCTCTGGGTGAGCAAGCGGCTGTTCAGAAATGCTGCAGGAAGGAGGGGCTGCCTGGCTGCCAGGAGTGTATAAATGCTCAGGAGCTGAGCTCCTTCCCAGAGCTGACGGTCTCCGGGTTGAGCTGCCTCCTCCCTCTGGAACCGAGTGACTCAGGCCTTTGTTTGCCCTTCCTGGTCTGTGCGAGTCCCCTCCTTCGGCAAGATGCCGGAGTGCTGGGATGGGGTGAGTGAGGGCCCTGGGGGCAGCCATGTGGGCCGGGAGGATGGGGCATCTTTGTGACCTGTGGGAAGGACGGGGCATCGCTCTCCCATGGCGCCTCACTTGCAGTCATTGAGGCAAGGCCACAGGGCTCCAGCCCCCTAGTAACCTAGTCCACCCATGTGGCTGAAGGCAGATGCTAGTCCATCCTGAGGGAGGGGTGCATTCTGTGGAAATGGACTCCTCTCTGCCTGTGTGCCTGTGTGCGTGCCCTGCTGACAGCGACGAGCCTCTGCCTGCCATGTGCCTGCCAGCATCTGCCTGGGTGCTGGGACCACCTCAGCCCATTGGGCTGGTCCTCCGTGAGCCTTGGGCTGTGTCTGCAACGTGTCCTGGGGGCTGCGCCTGCCAGGTCTGTGGTCTCGTCCCCATAGGCTTGGTGTTTGGCTGACAGCTGTAGATTGCCATTGGCAGCCTCCTGTGGAGGGAGACTGGGGCGGCTGGACCAGGACTGGAAGGGGACAGATTTGTGTCCCCAGCCTCTTCCTTCCGTACGAGTTGCTTGCATGTCCCCAGGCTGTTTGGGTGCTGCAGGAATGGAGGTCTGGACCTTCAGGCAGGGGTCCCTGCAGGGAAAGGGATAAGAAGGGTCACTGTGTCTCCTGTACCCCTGGGAAACAGCAGGTACCAAGCCCTAAATGGTTCTCCAGGAAGGAGAGGCAAGGGCAAACCTCCCTGCCCCCACGCTCCTGTCTGGCCCTGCCCTGCTGGGTTCCCAGGCTGTGGGGTCGTCTTGCATTGAGGCCATGACGTTAGCCCATATCCATCCATGCAGACCCTGTCTCCTGAATTATTAATGCAGCAAACAAAAAGAATCTCCTTGTGCACCAGTTCTGGTTCCTTGCCCCACCCCCCATCCCAGGCCCTCAAGGTCACTGGCGAGGGGTTAGGAGCTGAGAGGGGACATCAGAGCCCCCTCCCTGGCTGCCGCACTGCATCCCTTGTGTGTGCCCACTGGGAGGCAGGCTGGGCTCTGACGTCACCAGGAGCCAATGGAAGCTCTCCGCTCTGGGAGTTGGAGGCTTGAGGTGCCCCAGGGTGAGGTCCTGGGGTGCCCCGCACCTTGGGCAGTGTAGTACTCAGGAGAATGGAATGCTCTGCTGTTGTCAGGCTGAGCTGGGTCTGAGCTGCCTGCTGAGGATGGGAGCAGGACAGGAAGTGGTTAGCAGGGTTATAGGCCAAGGTCACTAGGCCCGTGGACTAACTAAAGCCCTCACCTGCCATGGCTGCCCAGACCCAGCTCTGTTGCTGACGGCAGCCTCCTGCAGGTAGAAATTTGGGCAGCTGGACCATGGCTAGGAGAGGACAAATGGGGTCTTCTCAGCAGGAGGGCAGATGCCCCTTCATCACACCTGCTGGAGGGTTGGAGGTCTGAGCTTAGAAGGCACCCTGGGACCTGACTTCTCTTTCCCAGTGCAAGAGCTGACTCACCTGAGAACTGCCCTCTGGTGTGGAAAACCCACTATGGTGCCTCTGGGCCGACCCTCCAGGCCTGAGAGAGCGGGAGTGGCTCGGAATGGGGTGGCAGGCACACAGCAGAGGTGGGCCTCTCTGGGTGGGGGTGCCCACTCAGAGGTCTGTGGGGTGGAAAGGTGTCCCCCTCAGAAAATACAGCCCGAGTACTGAGCCCTGTCCCTGAGAAGTCCAAGCCCACCTGGCAAGTTCCCTACCCCACCTGCTCTGGGCTTGACCTCAGAGAAGTCACTTCTCCTTGTTTGGCCTCAGTTTCCTCCCGTATGGTTTGAGTTCATGCAAGGAGTAAATGAAAGGACACATGAAAAGAGCCCACTCAGTGGCCTATAGGCAAGAAATGTGTCTTAAGCTGATGGGTCCTCAGGGACGGCAGGCCTGGGGCCACCTGGAGGACCCCAGGCATCAGACCCCCCAGCAGATTGTGTCCTGGGGTTGGTACCACCACCTTATCTCTCCGTACTGGAGGTAAAATTCAGGACAGCAGTACTCTGAGACCAGACCCAAGAAAGCCAGTCCCTGAGAAGCTGTCCCTCCCATCCATATCTTCCTGTCTGAAAGTGGGGACTGGGGTCCTCCCTCGGAGAACATGTGGGAACCTGGTGCACAGTCTCCTCTCGGGCTTCTTCCTTCCTGTCCCTGACCCCAGTGCCACCTCCAACTCTAGAGCTCCCCCTGTGGTCCCACGGCTCCCCATAGTGCAGGGTGGGCCATTTACTCAGCTCTACTGACCCTCTTGAGTTTCCTCGTTGAGTGCTTACAGAGGCACCAGCCAGCGGCAGGGCGTCTCCTCACGGCTCAGGGCTCTCTACCAGGGCTGATGCTGCAGCTGTCACCAAATCCCCATGAGGTGGGTCCTGGCGAAGAGGCCGAGGTACAGAGAGTCACATAGGAAGGGGCAGAGCCAGGGCTGCCTAAACAAACAGTGACCCTGAGCAGCAAAACAAAGGGCATAAACTTGGTAGGACCCCTGAACTGGCCCTGCAGAAGGCTTGGTGGTGGTGAGGTGATCCAGCTCCACCCTTTCTGGAGGCCTTCGGGATGCTTGGGTCACAGGAAGGGCCTTGAGGTAGAAGGAAGAGCCTGAGTGACTGCTGGGGTGGGAACCCGGGAGGGATGTGGGGCAGGGGCAGGGCTCGGTCAGCATGGGGTGCTGGTGAGAAAGCCAGGCAGAGCTGCTGAATCTGTTGCCCTTCAGCGTCAGGGAACCCTTGAGGTCTCTGCATGGGGACGAGCCTGGGGCCTCCCTGGACCTTGGGCCTGGGCCCTGGCAGCACAGTGGCTGGTTTGCAGAGGGACCCGGACTTTCTACAGAGTTCACGTTGTCCCTGTGCTGGAGGCCCCTGAGAAAGGTTCTCCATCTGGCCTGTCTGCTCTGGGGGCTGCTGGGTGGTCTCTGCCCCACCGCCTGGTACCCCAGAAGAGCCAGGAGTGGAAGCTGCCAAGAGTCCAGTGCTGTCTGTATCCTCCAGGAACATGACATTGAGACGCCTTATGGGCTTCTGCACGTGGTGATCCGGGGCTCCCCCAAGGGCAACCGCCCGGCCATCCTCACCTACCATGACGTGGGCCTCAACCGTAAGTGCAGCCTGCTCCCACTTGCGCTCCCTCCTCCACCAGAGTGCTGTCCAGCCCTCCCCCTTTCCTCCCCTCCTCCGCGCGCGGCTGGCTGAGACTGAGACGTGTGTCTGCAGACAAGCTGTGCTTCAACACCTTCTTCAACTTCGAGGACATGCAGGAGATCACCAAGCACTTCGTGGTGTGCCATGTGGACGCTCCCGGACAGCAGGTGGGGGCGTCACAGTTTCCTCAGGGGTAGGTACCCATGGACCCCCTTCCCAGCCTCTCGCCAGCTCCATCCGTATCCCAGGCTGCACAGCACCCTGACCTCCTGCTCTGCCTGCAGGTACCAGTTCCCCTCCATGGAGCAGCTGGCTGCCATGCTCCCCAGTGTGGTACAGCACTTTGGGTGAGTCCCCTCCGGCCCCTGCCCCTGTGCTAGGGACCAAGAGGTGCCCGCTACCACTGCAGATCCATCAGCCGAGGCTGTGGGCGGTGGGAGGGGCCTGCTGGGGATGGGTTCTGTGGGAAATGGCTCCGTGGCCCTAGGGACCAGCCGTTTTCTATCCACACCAGGTTCAAATACGTTATTGGCATTGGAGTGGGAGCCGGAGCCTATGTGCTGGCCAAGTTTGCAGTGAGTCTCCCACCCCTTCCCCAAGCCCCAGCACAATCCCAGGGGTCCCTGCAGCACTAGGACTTTCTCTGCTCCTTCTTCTACCTTCCCTACCCTTCCACCCCACCCCACACCCCACATCCTTTCCACTTATTAGAAGTTTTTTTCTCCTTTTTCCCTTCAAGGGAATTAACTTGAAAACCAGGCAGGCATGGTTGTGCATACCTGTAATCCCAGAGCTCGGGGAGGCTGAAGAATGAGGATTGAAAAATATGAACCCAGCCCGGGCAGTTTATCGATATAGATCCTGTCTCAAAATTTAAAAATGACTGAAGCCAGGGATTTAGCTCAGTGGCACCATGCCTATCTTACAAGCGCAAGGTCCTGAGTTTGATCCCCAGTCCCAAATAAATAACTAACTGGGAATATAGCTCAGTATCAGGGCCCTAGGTGCAGTCCCTAGTGCTTGAAAAAAAAAAGTCAAGATGCTTTCATTTTCTGTAAAAGCAGAGAAAACATGTTTAAGGTTCAGTATGTTTAATACTCACTTTTGCAAAGACACTTTCAAAACTAAATCAGAAGGTGCTGGGGAGGATGTAGCTCGGTGGTAAAGTAATTGCTTAGTACGTGTGCCCAACCCTGGGTTCCATCCCTAGCACTGCAGAAATATAAATTGCGTATTAAAATGGAAGAGAGCAGTGTTAGAGTCATCGGTTCTAAATAAGTCAGAGAGAGCTTAGGGGTTCAGGCTGGAAGGATCAGCAGGGTGCCTGGCCCCAGTTGGCCCATCTGTGGCTTCTCAGGGCCTTGCAGAACTGCTCCTTCACCTCTGACCTTCCCTTGGAGACAGGCAGGGCACAGCTTCATGGCCCCCTTTCTAGGTGGGCAGAAGGCAGCTCCCTGCCCCCATCCCTCCCTCCATCTCCCCTCTCCCTGCAGCTCATCTTCCCTGACCTGGTGGAAGGGCTGGTGCTTATGAACATCGACCCCAATGGCAAAGGCTGGATTGACTGGGCTGCCACCAAGGTGAGCTTGGAGTGCCTGGGGCAGGGGGTGCTGCGAGGGGCGGTGCTCACGCTGGCCTCCCCTGGTACAGCTCTCCGGCCTGACCAGCACTTTGCCAGACACGGTGCTCTCCCACCTCTTCAGCCAGGTGAGGGGCAGCGGGACTTCTGGAGAGCTGGGCCTCACCTGCTGCCCACCCCAGCCTGGAGGAGGAGTCCGGGGTGGTTTGGCCTTGCCTCTCCTCATCCGTGAGGCCCCACCTTCCCAGCCCTCCCCCTACTGTCCTGCTGGGAGTGGGGTGAAGGCTGCTCTGGAGGTGATACCTGCCCGACCCCCGGATTCTCTGTGTGCTTCCCCCCACACCTCACCACACCTGGGCCCAGGAGGAGCTGGTGAACAACACAGAGCTGGTGCAGAGCTACAGGCAGCAGATCGGGAACGTGGTGAACCAGGCCAACCTGCAGCTCTTCTGGAACATGTATAACAGGTGTGCGCGGGGTTTGTAAAGGAGCAGGTATGGAGCCCGGGAGAGGTCACAGCCACCTGGGGGCAGCGGGTAGCACAGCTTTGGACCCTCGCCTTGGGCTTTCCTAGTTCTCCTCCAGCTTGCTGGGTGCACTGCAGGATTTTAGTGACACCCCGACCCCAGCAATGTGGAGCAGTGGTGCTGACCTCTGTGAAATGGGAGGAGGTCTGTGGGGTTGTGGTTTTCCTTTGTTGTTGTACTGGGTATTGAATCCAGGACCTTTGCACTGAGCTATATTCTCGGTGTTTTTTAAAAAAATCTTTATTTTGAGAAGGGGGGTCTCCTTAAGTTGCCCAGGTTGGACTTGAACATGTGAACCTCCTGAGAGGTTGTGGTTTTCTAGGTGCACTTTGGGATCCTTTGTGGGGTTTTGGGGGGTGGGCCTGTCTGCCTTTCCTTTCTTTTGCAAATACTAATTAAGCACCTTCAGGAAAAACAGTAGAGCATGAGAGACCCAGGTGTAAACTCTTGCTCTGTGGACAGCAGTGAGGGCTTAGGCCCCGCCCTATCCCGCAGCCAGGCCAGCAGCAAATTCCCGTGATAGAAAGGGTGGAGCACAGTGCTCTCCGGTATGGAGTGCAAACGGAGAGCCCACCCGCAGGAGCCAGGGGTCTGGAAAGGATCCTGAGTGAGGAAAGCCCTGACAGCCGCTGTTCCTGCAGAGCAGGCCCACGCTGACCTGCCTGCTGACCACTGGGCCCTGGTGGGCTCGGGAACCCCCCCCATCCAGTCCTGAGATGTCCACCTTTGCCTTTGCTCCCCCTGTAGCCGAAGAGACCTGGACATTAACCGGCCTGGGACAGTGCCCAATGCCAAGACGCTCCGGTGAGTGACCACGGCCCTCCAGGGACCCTGCCTCTGTCCCTCGCCCAGGCCAAACAGCCCTCTCCCTCTGTCTGCAGCTGCCCTGTGATGCTGGTGGTCGGGGATAACGCACCTGCTGAGGATGGGGTGGTGAGTGTGTGATGGGCATGGACACTGTGGGATCCTGGCCAGCAAGGCCAGCTCTTGTTGCAGCTCAAGGTGGCCTTAGGGATGAGCACTGGATGGTGGGCTTCCCATCCATTTCCCCGCCATCTGCCATCCTGCGGGAGACAGAAGGAGCTGGGGCCACTGCCTGCTGTGTCCCCTCCTTCCCCACTAGTACAGCCCTCACCTGAGTCTCTACACACTACTGGCCCAGAGCCTAAGATCAGATCTCTTTCCTCTAAGATTCAGCTCACATGAAATGGATTCATTCTTCTGGCAGCAGGCATCCTGGGGGTGGATGTCCCTCAGCACCAGGAGTGCGAGGAAAATACTGTACCTTCCAGAGACAGGCAGAACCAGGGGTTGTGGTATTGACCACACCCTCTCACCTTGCTGTCTGGCCCACACAGCTTCTGGGCTTTTGCAGACCCATCTGTGAGTGGAGTCCCAGGATTTCAGGCCCCTCAGGGGCTGCTAACTGACTTCCAGAGCCTTGCAGCTCCCTGAAAGGAAGAAGCAGGGAGGGCAGCCTCCTCTCAGCCCTAGGCCAGCACTGCCCCCTTCTCTGCTCTGGGCATAGACATGGCCTTAGCACTGGGGGCAAGAGTATTGCTGAAACTGGCTCCTTGTTCCCAGGTTGAATGCAACTCCAAACTGGACCCAACCAGCACAACCTTCCTGAAGGTGAGCTTGGCCGCAGGGAGGGGCCCTCGCCCGACCAGACAAGGAGCACACAGTGCGTCTGGCTGACAGAGCCTGCCCAGGTGGGGGGACCTGCTCACTCACCTCATTCTCTCCTTTGTAGATGGCAGATTCTGGGGGGCTCCCTCAGGTCACACAGGTAAGACTCAGCCCTCCTGCCAGAGGTAGTGAGCTAAGGGGTGGGGTGAGGGAGCCCTTCCCTCCCAATGGTCCTGGGCTGCCTAATTAGAACACATGCCTGTCCTACCCTCCTGCAGCCCGGGAAGCTGACTGAGGCCTTCAAATACTTCCTGCAAGGCATGGGCTACAGTGAGTACTCCCTACCTGCCCTGCCTTGGAAACTGGTGGGTGGGCTCCAGGGCTGGCAGAGCTGGCACAGTGTCCAGTGCTAAGGACCTGTGGGTGAATGAGCACTGTGTTACCCGGGCCCCCTCACCCAACCCACCAGTGTGTCCCAGGCCAGGCCTGGCTCTCCCATGCCCATGTGGAGGCCTTGGCACTGTTCTGTGGGCAGGGCTGGGCCTATTGGGAGGAATCTTCTCTCAGCTCCAGGAGTCCAGGGCCTGGGCTAGGACCTTCCAGAGAAGCCTGTTTAAGGAAAGCCACCTGCTCTGCAGGGACTAGCAGCCCAGCTGGGCCCAGGGACCCTGAGAGACTCTTTGTCTCAGGTGGTGGGTGACACCTAGGGCATCATAGATGTAGGCTGGAAGTGTGGGGACCAGAAAAAGCAAGTGAGACCATATGGTGTTAGGAGAGCCAGCCATAGGCAGCAGAACCTAAGGGAGGTAATCCTGAAACCCTGAGGACACAGGCCCTGGGGTGGGACCTGCTCCCTGTCCTCCATCACTCTCCAAGTTCCCCCTTGGGTAGGGATGATGAGACCCCAGACTCTGCCTTCTGGCCCCCCAACTCATAGCTCCAGTGGCTCCTATATAGCCCCTTCCATGGCCCCTGGTCCCTTCCCAACACACTGCTGTTTCTCTGGCTCCTCTGCTGCTGGTAAGCAAACTTCCTCTCCCTGAATTTGTTTTTCCCTTCAGTCTCCTCAGGAAGAAGGTATGGGGAGGTAGGGAGCTTGGCAGGAAAGGAGCTCCTCCAGCCCAGAGGCCTGATTTCCTCTGCACCAGGTGTAGGGTAGAGAGGCGCAGGCTGACCAAGCCCTGCACTCACAAGAATCTGTGAACATTTGTGAAACGATGGATGAGCAACACTTGTCGGGTGCTGGGGTACATTCTCAGGGCCCTGGGGGAGATGCAGCAGGCAGCCCTGGAGTTAGGAGAGATTCTGAGTTGGGGAGAGTGAGGCCTCACAGAATCCTGAGGACCCAAGAGGCCCAAGAAGGCCTGCTGACATGACCTGGGTTGCAGATGGCAGGTAAGATGAGAGCCCCCATCCCGCTGACAGGGCTCCCTTGCTCACAGTGAGTTTAGTCCCTGCGGAGGGTCATCATGTGGGTAGGTAGGCGTGGACTCCCAAGGTTTGGCCCTACCTGGCCCTCTCTCTGCTTGTCCACTCAACTCTGGCTGATCTCAATGTCCATGCTTCACCCGGCCACGATCTTCACTGTGTTCTGTGTCTCCCCTTCCTGCCCCTCTGGCTCTGTCTTCTCTCTCAGTTGCGTACTTGAAGGACCGAAGGCTGAGTGGAGGAGCAGGTAGCCCGAGACTCCTCTCCCAATGCATGGTTGCCTCTTCCAGCTCTGCCCTGCTCCTTCTCTGTGCAGTGCTGCAGCCAGGCCGCATCTTGCTGTGGTTTGGAAACTTCTTGTGTCCTGCTCGACTCAAAAGCCCACAAGATTCCTGCTCTTCTGCAAATGCTGGGGACTTGGTCCTGCTGAGTGGCTTGAGATTGGATCTTAGAGATTGGGTCTTGCTCCGAGGTGGTTAGGGCCTGAGGAGCTCCTGGAGCTGTGGGAGTTAGAAGCACTAGCTCCTCAGAAGCAGAGCCTGCTGGCCTTGTGAGCAATCAGGCCTGGCCCTGGCCTGGCCAAACCAGTGGACAGGCTAGTTCAGGAGAGTAGAGTTTGCATGGTATAGCTCACCTGCAAAATTCTGAAAGGGCTGAAATGAGATGGAGGGCAGCTTGGGGTCATGACACCGTATCCTTCACAAGAGTGATGCTGCTTCCCCATCCTCTTGCGGGAGGCCATGCTGGGAATAACACATCCCCATGCCAGTTCGGGCTGCCTGGCCAACACTGGCCCTGCATGCCTCAGGCTTGCTGGAGCCAGTGCAGTGCCCTGGCTTGTGCTGGGCCTTGTGTTTCTGGAAGATTGGTCTCGCTGGCCGCTTTGCTTGCCTTATCCTTTGCCCACCTGCCAGTGCCAGGTCCTGCGTGCCAGTCCTCAGACCCATTCCCTTTTTGCCAACAGTGCCCTCGGCCAGCATGACCCGTCTGGCACGCTCCCGCACTGCGTCCCTCACCAGTGCCAGCTCCGTGGATGGAGGCCGCCCGCAGCCCTGCACCCACTCGGAGAGCAGCGAGGGGCTGGGCCAGGTCAACCACACCATGGAGGTGTCCTGCTGAAGCCCTTGGTCCTGCCCAAGATGCTCACCTGCCCTCCTGCCCACATCAAGGTCCCACTGCCATCCCTGCGCCAGCTCATTTTCCCTTTATTTTTGTGAGGGTGAACAGGAGGAAATGGGGTCACTTCTCTTTTGTTTAAAAAAATAAGGAATCACCTTGGGTGCTGTAGCAGAACAGTCTTCAGATGTTTTGAGGGGCTCCTGCACCCCATCTTCCTCAGTGTTGACTTGGCTGTCTTGGCCCCTCTTGTCTGGCCCCATGGCCCAGGCACAGTCAGGGCCACATTGGGCAGGGCAAGAGGGGTGGCTAAGGAAAGAGTTGGGAGCCCTTCCTCCTTCCTGGGCCAGGATCACCCCGTTTAAAGCCCTTAGCAGGAAGGGGGAAGACAGATGGCATCTTGAGATGATTGTTGGTGGGTTCCAGCCCTGATGCAGGAACTTGGAGATAGCGGGAGCACCAGAAGACCCTAAACCTTCAGCCCCCCAAGCACACAAGGCTCTGCTTTGTAGCACAGGTACAGCCACCTGGACTGTAGCCACAGGGGAAGCTGTCATCCCGGTGCTCTCTGGGCTGGCTGGTGCTGTGGTACTAGGCAGGTGGGGGCTGAAGATAGAACCACACATCTGGCCACCTCTTGGCCCTGACCCATTCTGAGCCAAGGTCTCCGTGAGGCAGAAGTCACCTGGACCTCTCTTCCTAGTGACTTGGCTGGGGGCAGAGGGAAAGGGTAGGGTTGCTCCTGGATGACATGCATACCTCTGAGAACTGTAGGGTGACTGCTGTGGAATCAGCAGGGAGCCAGAGTCAGGGTAGCTGAGAACTCTTGTAGACCTAGTTGCCTCAGTTCCAAAGGGTGTCCATTCAGCAGCAGAATCACTGAGGGATGTCAGTTTCCCAGGAGGGACCAGCCCGGGACAGCAGCCAGGTTGCTAGAGGGGATGTGGCTGGGGCTTGCTGAGTCCTGGGGTGGGGGCTGAAGGTTCTTGAACAGGGCCACGTAGAGAAGGCTTCACACATCCTAGTCCCTCCTGCCACCTAAGCCCAGGACTGTGCCATTTATTTCTTTCTACCTGGTAGCCCAGAAACCTGAGCCAGCTGTCTTAGACCCTGAATCAACTATCACAAATCCCCAGAAGGCAGGAAGAGAGCACTGAAAAAACTGAAGGGCTGTAGAAGTGGGGACGGTGTGGGGGTGTTCTGAGGCTGAGGGGACACCTAGATCCATATATGCCAGCACACGTCTCCCCCTTCCATGATGTTAAGCCTTTACCAGATGGAGGGCCTGGCGGGGTGTAGTCTGCCCCGGTTCTGCTCGCCCACGTGCTTCCTTTGAATATTGAATGTGACTTTAAAGCTGGTGGAATTAATCCCTCTTACTGTAGATAGCACTGCGAGTACTTTTCCTTTTTTTGCTGTGTTCTTTCAAATGAGATATATAAATATCTATACATTATATATATATATATATATGTATATGTATATTGGGTCTTCCTGCGTGTGGTTTTCCATTGGAAGTTGTCTCTTCTTTGGTCAAGGTGAACTTTAAATGGAGTTTGTTATTTTCTTCTCTGTACAAAGCCTACTTTTGTGTGTTCTGGTGGCTGATGTCATGAGATTTTAAAATGATAAAATGTAAAACAAAAACACTTGTCATTGTAGAAAGTTAACTACGCTGAAAAACTAATAAAGAAACTAAGAAGAATGCGACTGTGGTGGTGCCCTCTGGGAGGGGCAGACTGTTGAGGACTGCCTTGTGTGTCAGAGGGGCTGGGGGTGCAGGTGGACATGTCTGCGTTTCTGGTGCTTGTCACACCTTGGTTTACCAATCCTGACGTCGCTTCTACAGACTAGATGTGTTTCACAGCTGAGAAAATCGAGCTTTGGGACATAGAGGATTTGCACCAAGAAGAGATGAGTTCACCTAAGGACGTTGTTGGGCTCTAAACTCCTCCCCATAACCTTTCTATTTGGGGCCTTGTTTTCATAAATAGAATAACATACCATTTCCCCATGTTTAACCATGATTTGTTTCATTCTTTATTTATTTTGTTTGTTTTGGTACCAGGGATTGAACTCTGGTCCTTGTGCTTACAAGGCAGGCTCCAGAACCACTGAGCTAAATCCCCGGCCCTCATTCTTTATTCATTTTCTCGATAGGAGTTCCTCCTGTGTGTCAGCTAAGATAATGAAACCCACCACCTTGTATGCGGATGAAAGATGGCCAGAAAAGCGAGTTGTGCAGTGGGGCCCTGTTCTAGACCCAAGTAGTCAAAGTACTCTGATGGAAAACACAGAGTGCTGCGGTCAGATGACCATCGGTAATGAGGGTCAAGATCTCAAGACCGGAAGGATTGAGAGCTGCCCTCGGGGTCACGCTCCCCACCCAAAAGCAGCCAAGCCTGGGGGTGGAGGTGGGGGTGGGGCGGATTTGTTCTCGCACCCTGACTTGGACCCAAGAAGTCTCAATTCTCGCAGACAATGGGAGAGTGACGGTTGGTTGAGAGCCAAGTATGAGGCAGCCAGGGCTAGATCACAAGCTTTTAAACGAGGGTTTTCTATAACCAATCGGAAGCACCAGAGTCAAAAAAGGACGCTGTGGGGGAGGAGCCACCCCTCCCCTTCCGCGGGGACGCCGCGGCCGCCTCACGTACTTCCGGTGCGGTCCGCAGGGGTGG